GACGGCGGTCTAATATTGTTGTGTCGACTCTATCCCAGAGGCTCAGACGCTCATTAGGGCCGGACGGAGTATTTCCGGAACGGGAGGATTCGAATAACAGGAATCGGAGTTTTAATGGGGGGAAAAATAAGCCCGACACACAGCCGACAATTCATTGTGTCTGGCCTCGTTTCAGGTTCAACAGCTCGATTGTTTCCCTGTAAATCACAACTATACGACGCCTGAAACACACAACATCGGTTAAGGACTAAATCTGAAGTTGAACAGCACATAACATGCTAGAAAAAAAAAGACAGCAGCACAAGAAAAATAATAGTTGAACCCGGCATACTTACAAATAAGCTTTTTGCATACCGGCACCCCGGAGTTGATATTAAAAAAAAGAAGAAAAAAACTGCTTAAACAACAACCGTTATGGACATGGTTCGTCCGGTCCATGTGCCAGAATTCATTGATTTACAAACCATACGAGGGGGAGGGAGGGATGGACGGANGAGAGAGGGAGAGAGAGAGAAGAAAAGAAAAAAATACATAAAATAAAATACAAAATGCATAATATATAAAAAATGCAAAATACAATAAAATGAGAACTGCACTCAAAATTTTGATAGATTATTAACAATGGAAAACTCAAAATTTTTCTACTTCATTCATTTGTATCTATAACTGTACATGTATTATATGCATCCAGCAGATTGTATAATTTATGTTTGTGGCACAAAAAGATCTGGATTAATAAAATGATATTATTCATTTTCATCCATATTCTTTTCTGTCGTTTACATTGTAATTTTGGGGAATGGAGTAATCGCATTTGTGTGATTTTGTAATTTAATATGAAAACGTCTGTAATATGTTTTGATGGATGAAAAAAATGTTGCCATATGCAGATCTCTGAGAATTGTGTTATTCTTTATGTAAAAAGTGGCAGAAACAGTTAGTCTTAAAATTTTGGATTGAAAACTTTGTAATCTTTGAATATTGGAATATTCGGCCGATCCATAAGCTTGGCATCCAGGTTTGAGTGCGAATGTTGAAAGTTTTGATTTTAATGGTAATGTTGATTCTCGGTTGATTAGGTAATAAGGCATTTTAAATCTTTTGTTGTCTGTTTTTTTTTTTTTAATCGTGTGTGTGGATTCAAAGTTAGTCTTCTATCAAATGTCCTAAATAGTTAACTTCGTCGGATTGAGGAACAGGTTCATTGTATAACTATATGCTAGGACAAGTCTCACGACGGAGTGTAAAGATGATATGTTGTGATTTTGATGGGTTAAACTTTATTTTCCAAAGATTGCTCCAGTTTTTCAATTGTCGATATGTGGTTTTGTAACATAAGTGATGACTTGTCAATATGGCGGCGTCCTCTGCGTGGCGGTAAGTGCATTCTCATTTGTGGGCATATCAGAAGTAAAAATTGTATACAACAGCGTAGCGAGTATTAACTCTTGGGGCACACCTGCGAACAGTTCTTCTCAGAAATTAACGCATCCTGGTTTACTGCGAAAAATCTCTCCTTAATATATAACTAATAGGCCTGGGGTAATATATATACAAAGTGGAAGGTTTATGGGCCGAAAAACAGCTGAGGTGATCGCCGGCCCTCCGCGTGTATTCCTTCTCTGTCCTGTCTTTCTCGCGTATTTTGTATTGAACTGCAGCCATTTGAGCATCTCGATCTGGTTACTGACTCTCTGCTTTTACTTGTATATTACGTAGTTATTTTAAAAAGCTAGCCTCTTGTTAGTACCTCAGGTTGTCAATTTAAGAATAGATAAACAACATACAACACATAACATATATATCGCCACAAACATAGAAGTCTGGTCACATTCACTNACAATTTCTTTAGATTTTTAACTTTTCCCATTTGTTGGTTGACTACACGGCAGATCTGGATGGGGGAGTCATCTTTAAAATCCCCCTCTTTTTTTTCCATGATCCAGTATCTTGTGAAATTCTTTGTCATCTGGTCTTCACTATCACTTCCGCTCTTTTCTTTTCTAATTCTTTTCCTTTTTTTGGACTCCGGCTCGAATGGCTGCAGTGTCCTCACTAATTCGGTGTTACCTTTTCCGTTCCTAGCAGTATCCATACGTTGGGTGGCGCTGCTCTCTCCACCAACTCCAACGGGGCCCGAGTGAATAACGCCGAGGGTGGCCTGTGCCCCCGACGTCACCGGAATTTCGCCTTCCGGATATACGGCGTTTTTTTTCATATTTTTTGGAGCTTGTTTGTTTTAGGCCAGGGGGAAGCTACCCACCCTGGCCCTAGCCGATTAGTGGGGCTGCCACTAAAGGTGAACCGGCACACCTCCCCCTCCTTAAAGCCTGGGACGCCGGGAGAAGGAACAGGGAGGAGGTTAGTGTTGGGGAAGGGGTTATTATAGGAATGGAATGTTAGGTAATGAGGTTAGTAAGGGGATAAAGTGTTTCGGAAGGCCACCAGGTACAGGAGGGGTATTGGACGCAGTTTAACCTCTTGCCCGGGAGGGCCGGGGTTAATAATTTTAATTTGTATAATAATTCCTCGTACCATACTTTGCAAGAATGGCTTAGAAACCCTCCAGTCCCGTACGGTTTCTACTTGAGACATGAAGTAGTGAAATCTGTACCTGTGAAGTTGATGAGTAGTGGAATGACGGGTTGAAAAACTGAATTGATAGTCTGGTATGACGTTCAAAGATGGAAAAAATTATAATGTACTTACTGTTAGAATGCAAAACAAAACAGGTCAAAAATAGAAAGGAAAAAAAGGTTACACAAAAAGACAGTAAATAGTACAACAGCAAAGACATGAAGCTTTTACGTGAAAAGACGCGCAGCTAACATAATTTTCGTTAATTTCTTTTCACGCAATGTCCTTACAATTTCAGCAACAAATACAACAAACCACCCTTGTAAAATCAGGACACTTGATCCTGCGATAAATTTCACTGATGCCTTTATCTGTTTTTTTTCTGGACGAGTATATATACAAAAAATAAGTTCAATGTGTTAAATGAAATCAACTGATAAAAATAATTATTTTTTCTGTTTATCTCTCTTAGGTAATTACTATTTACATTTTTGCAAAAAAAAAAAAAAAAATGAAAGGGTATTTATTCAAGATATTTATAAAATAATAGTACTACTAAGTTTATCTGCTGAATAGATTAATTTTTATAATCAGTTTTTTGTCAGTAGCGCGTCCGTTACGGATCGGCTCTAAGAGATAGATAACGTCTTTCTCGGTAGAGATAAAAAAAAATATATATAAAAATTTACAAAGTGGGGAAAATATTGTGGGAGTCATGATGATTCTTAATAAGTAACTGGTTGCTCCCGCCTTTTATTGGCAATGATTAAAATTCCTGGTTTATTCGCAAATCCGATTAATTACAAAAAGTATTAAAATAAAAATAAAATAAAATAAAAAACACGACGAAGACAGGCGGAAAATGGGCCGGATTGGTCGTGACGCCGCGTCAATCCGTCACAGATGTTTAACTTCTCGGGTTGAAAATAAAAACCGAAGTGGCCGTTCTTCATAATCGATTATCAATGTTTTGCCCCCCTTGAGCTTTAATTATAGAATGATTGATCGAACGTGTGAAAAATTCTTCCGGTTCGTAACGCCGTCCCGGTGGTCCTACTAGTGCCAATTCGGACCGGCGAGGTGGTCGGACACCCGGAAAATCGTTTAAAGAATACATGCGAATTTCAGAAGACTAGGATAAAACGGATCGATGGTTAAATTTAGGCCCAAAACCCCGGCTAGAAAAATCCCATGTTATCAGAAAACAAATAATTCAATGAAGCAATCAAACAGTCAATGAAATAACAGATTAACTGACTTATATAAGAGACTCATTCAGCCAACTTTTCCTTATACACTGAACAAACGGACAGGTCAATAAGCAATCAATGAATCAATGAAATAACATTTTAACCTAGTGTCGTTTGTAATAAAACACTAGTCGATAAGCAATGAAGCAAATCAATGAAACACCGAACCAACAAATCAACTGAATTTTATGAGATGGTTAGGGATGGTTAATGATGATTAAATCATTCAATCAACTTTCCCATAAACGATGAACAAGCTGAGTAGTCAATAAGCATCCAAGCAGTCAATGCAATACCGACCTACTCCACTTATTATTAATGAAAATTCAACCAGTTTATGAAATAACAATTTGACCTAGTGTCATCTATAATAAAACACTAGTCGATAAGTAATAAAACGAATCAATGAAATACCGAACCAACAAATCAACTGAATTGTAAGGGATGGTTAATGATGATTAAATCATTCAATTAACTTTCCCATAAACGGTGAACAAGCTGAGTAGTCAATAAGCATCCAACTTCCTCTCTCTCTCTCGCTCTCTCTTTCTCACTCTCTCTCATTCACTATTAACAATTCGCATTTTGTCTCAATCTTAATACCGTTCTCTTTCCCTCTCTTTCACTCTCACTCTGTGCATTCTTTCAATTTCTTACTCTCTCCTCTCTAATTCCTTTCCATCTCTTATTCACTTTCTCTCTCTCTCTCTCTCTCTCTCTCTCTCTCTCCCTCTCCCTTCCATCTCTCACTCTGCCTTGTTTGTATCTATTATTCACACTCTCTCTCTCTCACTCTCTCTCTCATTCTGTCTCCTTGCCATCTCTCCCTCTTCCTAACTCTCTGTCTCTCTCTCTCTCTCTCTCTCTCTCTCTCTCATTCACTATTAACAATTCGCATTTTGTCTCAATCTTAATTAATACCGTTCTCTTTCTCTCTCTTTCACTCTCAAACTTTCCAACCCTTACTCACACTCTTCCTCTGTCTGTCTGTCGTCTCTCTCTCCTCACTCTCTCTAAACTGCATATAATATTTGTAAACAATGAATTCTGGCAGACGGACCGGACAAACCATTTCCATAATGCTTTTGTTCTTAATTTAATGAGAAAAAGTTTTATTTTTGTTTTTATCAAGCAATTATTAATATTATTGAAGTATTTAGAGAAAAAACACGGTTATTTTAATAAATCGATTTTATTTTCTAATCAAATGACACAGAGAAATGTCCTAGAAGAGCCAAAGCTACGCGACATTTCTCGCCAGACGGACTAGAAATTAGAGCTTGTAAGTTTGTCGCATCATGAGATCGAAGTGAATGTCGGACTCGATTGAAGCCGAGATGCCGTAGTAGTAGTGGAAGAACTCCTCCCTGGAAATCTTCCCAGAGCTCATCCCCTTTTCGAAAATTGAGCAAAACTTCTGTTTGATCTCTTCTTCCGTCTCTTCTCCGGATAGGAACTTCGTGTTCTTCTTGACGGAGTAGAGGCCTCGCATCCCGTCGATCGTGATGGCACCCTCGTTCCCCTTGTCCAGCTTGTCGAAGGCGTCGCTGATGGTCTTCACCCTCGACTCGGGAAGCTTCGGCATCACAGCGGATATGACGTCGTTGAGAGTGACGGTCCCGGAACCGCTCTTGTCCAGCTTTTCGAAGAGCTCAGCGACTTCGTCCTTGTCCAGCTGGACTCCGGCCTCGGCCATCCCCTTCTCGAAATCCTCCAGGTTCATGTTCTCGGTCGTCCCTTTCCTCAAAGCCCTGCCGAACTCGAGGAAGCCGGTCGTGCCTCTGGACTGACAGAGGAGTCTCACCTTCTCCAGGGCGTCTTTTGTCACAGCCGCCTCCCTTTTCGACTTGTTCATCATCTCGGTCTCCTGCCTGGATGCAGCCGACTGCGGCCTCGTCGCCTGCTCGTACTTGGTCATGCGCCTGCACTTGATCATCTCGTCCACTTTTAGTTTAAACCGAAAATATAAAGGCGAAGGTTGTCTTTTAATTTGAATTATCGGTAACCAGAAAAGTATAGAAAATAAATTTTTAGTCAGTCAACTTACTTCCTAAATGAGAAAATGCAATCTGATTTATTTAAAAAACAAATGCAACAAACAACACTTTAGCATATGTTCAGATTGACGATCTGAAAAGATACCGTATGGCCTTTGATTATTTGTTTTTTAATTCGATTCTCAATCAAACAACAAAACAACAACTGAAAAAATAAAAAAATACTATTAAGGACAAATTGTTAAAATCTCGCAAATAATAAAATCGACTAATCGACTTTAAAAAAAAAATCTTAATGAGCTTCTTTTGTGTATAATATTATATTCTAGGACGGTTACAACTTTAGTGAACTTCCAGAATAAAATATTTGTACAAGAAAATTAAAATAGAATAAAAAATAAATAAAATATCATACTTGGTCAGTTAAACGGTTATGTGCAGGTCGATTGCTTTTGACTAATAATTAAATGGGCTACCTGTTATTTAATATTCGTATGGTATTGCCTGGTGGGTTGACAGCTGTTTCTATTCTAGTAAAAATAAAAGAAAGATTTACACAAATTAATAGTAATTTGAGCAAAATTTTTCCTGCTAAGGAGACAAGAGGTAAAAAATGAAAAATTTCTTTCTGGTTTGTTTTCCCCGGAAAAAAATCTGTTGTAAAATTCAAACAGCGTAAAACTATTAAGTAAGATTTTAAGACCAATTTTGAATAGAAAAATACAAACTAGACCCTTTATGCCTGAAGGCTAAAAAGCCGTAGAGCGTAGTTGTACGTGGGGCTATCAAAGATGCGCAGAGATCTCGTCTTAAAGACCAGAGGGGACAGAAATTTAAGGCAAAGAAAATTCACCTCAAAGAGGAAAGATTGTAAATTGAGAGGTGGCAGTAGGAAAATGGACGTTTCGATTGATTATTAAGTAATTAATTAAAATTGGATCGAATGACTGGATCTCTTAAAATGATTTGATTGGTTCGATATCTCATTGACCGGTTGGATATTTATTGATCTGTCAGTTTATTCCCTTATAACAATTATTTTATTCACTTGCTATTTTATGGTTGTTTATTGACTAGACAGTTTGTTTAAGAGTAAGGAAAGTTGAACAATGTATCTTGAAATTATCCCAATCATTTAATATTTCATGGACTGTTTGATTGTTATTGACTAATTTAGACCTATTAGGCGGTTAAAAGTTAGTCTATTGACTGAATAATTACTCGGTTGTCCCAATATTTCATTGACTGGTTGGTTGCTTATCGATCTGTCTGTTTGTTCCCTTATAACAATTATTCCATGCACATGTTATTTTATGGTTATGTAATTGGTTTTTTATTGACTAGACAGTGAATCAGTTTATTGACTGAATAATTAATCGGTGTACCAATATTTCGTTGACTGGCTGATTGCTTAATAATTAATCAGTTTGTGCCTGTAACAAGTATTCCATTCACTCACGTGTTATTTTGTATACTTTTGCTTATACCGATTATCATTTGAATGCTGACTGAATGATATTTCATTGACTGATTTGTTTCTTATTGACTTGTCTGTTTGATCAGTGTTTAAAAAAAAAGTCGGCTGAATAACTTAATGACTATTGATTATTTAGTTGCTTTGTTAATTCGTCGATTGTTTAATGATTTATTGACTAGTAATTAAATGGACTATTAAAATTTGGTCGAATGACTGAATCTCTTATAATGATTTGATTGGTTCGATATTTCATTGATCCGTTGGTTGTTTATTGACCAGTCAGTTTGTTCAAGAGTAGGATTAGTTGAACGATATCATATCTTTAAATTATCCTAATCATTTGTTATTTCATGGACTGTTTGATTGTTTATTGACTACTTTCGACTTATCAGACTGTTAAAAGTTGGTCTATTGACTTAATAATTAGTCGGTTGTACCAATATTTCATTGACTGGTTGATTGCTTAATGATGACTGAACGATATTTCTTTGACTGGTTGATTGCTTAATGATGACTGAACGATATTTCATTGACTGATTGATATCTTATTGACTTGTCAGTTTGTTCAGTGTTTAAAGAAAAGTCGGTTGAATGACTTGAAGACTTATTGATTATTTCGTTGTTTTGTTGTCATGGATTCGTTAATTAATTATTGGATTTTATCTGGGTTTTTTTTGTAATTTCTACACAGGAGAACTATTTCTGAACTATTTGACTGATTGATGTACAGGGTATATCTTTAGATAGTATATATTTACGGTTTCACTACAGTTTTTGTTTTGTTTCCTCAGGGGGTCAAGACTTTTATCGTTGCAAAATCGACCCTTAGCTCAAATTATACAGGGTGTTGTATTTTTTCCCTTTAGTCAATTTGGACGGAATCGACCCTGGAGCCGGCACGAGGCCCCACTCGAAAAACCACCCTCACATGCTTTACGCCCTTTGTCAGCGTGTCAATCTCTTTTCTACCTGGTCGTGGCTACCCTCTATGTAAATACAACATTGCACCGGGGTGCTTTATTTTTCCCGGGCTTCTTAAGTCTCTCGTGAAGGCGGGGAGGATCTCGCGTGAAATATTATAATTGGGACGCTTTTTTAAAAAACGATTTGAGCGTTTAGGACAAAGGGAGGGAAAAAAGCACTTTCGGGCTTTTCTTTTGTCGCCCTTCTGGCTTCCTAGCGCCGCCGACAATGGTACCGGCCTCGGGTACCTGGGAAACACGTGGGAACCTGGGACATCGCTGGAATTCATAAATCTACGAGGGGCCCATGGCAGATTTGATGAACTGGAGGGCCTTAAGTGAGTCCCGGGGAGACAGGTGATCCTTTCTCTTTCCGACCCTCCCCCGAACGATCGATCACGGATTTTTTCCCCTCTTATAGCGCGGCGAATTTTCAGGGGGATGACCCAAAGGCCTCAACCCACCACCTTAGAAGATTTCTAACGTGATATTGCACCACCAATACCGCGGAAACGCGTCAATAATCAAAGATCAATTATTAATTATTTCAACACGGGTCGTCAAGATAACAGCAATCTTATCGATCGGACTATAATTGATCAATGGGTCCGTACGACTTTGCTTTTTTTTCGCAAGGGAACTGCTCTTAAAGTTTCGAACACCAAGATAACTGAAGTTATTATTACCAAAAAACATGTGAGTAAAAAAGAAAAGAAAAACACAAAACAAACAAGAACTTCGATAAAACAAGATAAAGAAGGAAATTCTGTTGAAAGTCAAAAACTAAACACAAAACTGGACTTCTCTTGAAATAGGAATCGAAATTTTAAATACTAACACAAATCTAACTCAAGCCACCTCCAACATCCAGAAGCATCATGAACTTATTTACGATTTACGGGAGATGTGGGGTACGATCAAGACTTCTAATTTCCAACTAATCCAAGCATTCCAAGGAAAAGTCCTCAGATGAATTCTCTAAGTTCCTTTTTCTCTAACATTACTATCCACAATGACGTTTGTTCAAGAACTATCCCAACTTTATACAGCTTAAACTCTCCTGATGTTACTATCCATAATGACCTTGATTAAAGAACTGTCCTAACCTTCCACAACTCAAGCTCTCTACTAATCTTACTATCCACAATGATTTTCATTAAAGAACTATCCTAACCTTTCACAGCTCAAGCTCTCTCCTAACCTTCTTTCCACAATGACCTTGGTTAAAGAACTATCCTTATCTTACACAACTCAAGCTCTCTCTTAACCTTACTATCCACAATGACTTTCATTGAAGAACTATCCTAACCCTACACAGTTCAAGCTCTTTCCTAACCTTACTGTTCACAGTGACTTTAGTCGAAGAACTATCCTAATCCTACACAGCTCAAGCTATTTTCTAACCTTACTGTTCACAATGACTTTAATTGAAGAACTATTCTAAACCTACACATCTCAAGCCCTTTTCTTACCTTATTGTCCACAACGACTTTAGTCGAAGAACTATCCTAACCCTATACATCTCAAGCTCTTTTCTTACCTTACTGACCACAATAACTTTAATTGAAGAACTATTCTAAACCTACACATCTCAAGCCCTTTTCTTACCTTACTGTTCACAATGACTTTAGTTGAAGAACTATCCTAACCCTACACAGCTCAAACTCTTTCCTGACCTTTCACAACCGTAAGTTCTCTCCTGACCATACTATTCAAATGACTCCTAACTTTACTATCCACAATGACGTTTGTAAAGAACTATCCTAACCTTACACAAGCATAAACTCTTTCCTGACCATACTGTCCAAATGACTCCTAACTTTACAATCTACTATGCCTCCTAACTTTACTATATCCAAAATGACCTTGTTAATGAAATATCTCAACCTTACACAGTTTAAGCTCTGTCCTAACTTTACTATCCAAAATGACCTTTGTTAAAGAACTTCCTAACCTCTCACAGCTCAAGCCCTCTCCTAAATTTACTATCACAATGACTGGTTAAAAAACTATCCTAACCTTAAACAAGCAAAAGCCCTCACCTAACCTTACTATCCACAATGACTTTGTTAAAGAACTTTCCTACCTTTCACATCTCAAGTTCTCTCCTAAATATAAAGCTCCCATTCCAATGACAATAATGATTGAAGCCTTAGCCACGTACGGATTCTTGGCTCTTGTCATCTTTTTGGCAAGGGTGAAACCATCGTGTTAGTGGTTTTAAATAGTGTCAAATGGGCTGGAAGTAACAAATTGTACAAGTTTCCTCGGAACTCTCGAAAACGGCGTCCTCTGCTTGCTTCAGAAATAATTCACCTCAGGCCCTAAGAGATTATAATTTTCCCTTTTCGCCGTCGCCACTCCAAGGGGCAGACGATAAATAAATAAATACGAAAATAAAACCCGTGTATTTAACGTCGGAGTTGGACGAGGATCAGTGACCGTATTTAAAATAGACCGTCTCGCCTAACCGTCTGCTCGTTCTCGGTGATTCATCATAACTCGTTATAAATATATACGGCGACAAGGGAGGGCGGACAAGAATTGGGCATTGTCTCTCGCCCCAGGAATAGGACCGGGGCCTCCTCATCCTCAGGAACCCATTAAGGACGGTCTGGCTTTCCGCGCTTACCCTTCGAGTCATTTTTGTCTCGCGGAGTTCTGTTTTAATAGGCGATTGGCAAAACCCGATGCACCTTCATCCGAAAATGGCGGAGGGTAAACGTCCCAATCGGAAGAGGAGAACGGACAGACGAGGGCATTGTTACCGGACAGCTGTCATGGTATTACTCGTCCCCTAAGTCAAACGTCAGGTTCAAGATGATGATCAGTGATGATTAATTGAATTAAATTCAACGTAACCGCTCGGAAAGAAACATATAAAAATAAGTCGAAGAAGATAGCAGCGAAAAAGTAGTGATTAAACACAACTTATTAAAGTAAGAACTGAAGCAAATAACTAAAAAAAACACTTAAAATAGCAGAAAAAAGTATATCGAAAATATAGTGTGAAATGTACGATGATAAAAGTTAAACTATGAAAAGTATAGCAAACATAACTGGTCGAAGAAATT